GGTGGCGTTTCAATTTACGCCCAGGACGAGTGGTTCTGTCACGAAGTGCAGACTTCGCTGACCAGGACAGATGGACTGTGATCCATGCCAACCCAGATTGCCTACTGCCCCTGCAAGTAAAAGAAGAGGCTTCTTCTCAGCCATTGGCAACACAGGAGCAGGATGAGGAGGGGGCACAGATTTCCCCAAAAGATGTGGCAATAGATAATACTTCTCTAGAGGAAGAGGAAGAAGAGCCAGAGATAAGGGGGGAAGAAGAAGTAGTAGTGCCTAGGCGCTCCCAGCGTTCAAACAAGGGTGTACCTCCTCAGCGTTTGACCCTAGGAGGAGTGAGAGTATGCAATGTGAGTTGTGTGGAACCACAAAGTTATAATGAAGTATTAGACTTACCCCCTGGGGAACGTGCTTTGTGGGAACAAGCTATGAAAGAAGAAATGGACTCTTTTAAACGTAACAAAGTGTTTGAGGTCATAATGCCGCCACCTGGTGGCAGAGTGGTGTCATGCAAGTGGGTTTACAAAAGGAAAACCCTTGCATCTGGGGAACCACGTTTTCGAGCCAGATTAGTAGCCAGAGGGTTCACTCAGATTAAAGGGGAGAGTTATGATGAAGTGTTTTCTCCCACTGTAAAGAGTGAAACTTTTCGCTTAATGCTTTCCATTGCTGCTGTAAGACAACTAGCAGTGCATCATTTTGATGTTGATGCTGCATATCTGCATGCAAATTTAGACCATGAAGTGTTAATGAGACAACCCCCTGGGTTTGAAGAGGAGAATGGTGCAGTCTGGTGTTTGAGAAAGGCTGTTTATGGTCTCAAACAAAGTGGAAGGTGTTGGAACCAGTGTTTAAATGAAGCCCTTGTAAAACTTGGTTTTAAAAGGAGTGTGGCTGATCCATGCCTGTACACCAAGGGATCAGGCAACAAATATCTAATGCTCTTAGTCTTTGTTGATGATTTGCTTGTGGCAGGGAGTTCCACAGATGAGATCCAGAAGCTCACAAGTCAACTGGAAAAGAGGTTTAAGCTTAAAGCCTTGGGGCCTGTAAGCAATTACTTGGGAGTAGAAGTAAGGCAGGAAGCTGATGGAAGCTTCCTATTGAGTCAGAAAGAGAAAATTCTTCGTTTGATAGAGCAGTTTGGCATGGAAAACTGCAAGCCAGTTCAGACTCCCATGACACCAGATTTCCCAAAGACAGTGTGTGATGATAAATTTGATCAGCCTGAGTTGTATCATTCAAAAATAGGATCACTGTTATATTTAAGCCAGTGGTCAAGGCCAGACATTGCATGTGCTACAAATGTCCTGAGCCAACGTGTATCTAAACCCAGTACTGCTGATTGGTGTGCTTTGAAAAGGCTTATCAGATATCTAAAGGGGACATTAAATGTATGTTTGAAGATATCTAGTACACAAGACGAAAAACTAGAAGTATTTGTTCATGCGGACTGGGGAAGCTGTGTAGCTATCAGAAAATCTACAAGTGGAATGGTTATGATGTTTGCCAATTCCATAATTGGGTGGAGGTCAAAGAAACAAGGATTTGTTGCAACCTCATCCTGTGAGGCAGAATATGGGAGCCTGTCGCTAGCATGCAATGAAATCATGTGGTTTATACAGATACTAAAAGATCTAGATTGTAAAGTAGATTTGCCTATCCAAGTGTATGAAGATAGCCAATCGTGCATTGCATTAGCGGGCTCGGAAATAATGAAATCCGCATCAAAACATATTGCTATCCGTCATGCGAATGTTAGAGATTGTGTACAGAATGGGGTAATCAAACTGGAGTATTGTCAATCACAAGATAATATTGCTGATTTGTTCACCAAGCCTTTGCCAGCATCATGCCATAATGAACTGATGACAAAACTGGGTTTATGTATATAATGTATGTATGTATTGTTTCTGTTGGGGTTTTTCGCATTTAAAGAAACAGAAGGGGTGTCACGGCTAAAATGGCCGCTGTTTCTTTAATGCGAATAAAGCTGGGTCAGCATGACTCAGCGGTCTGCACCAAGTTGTATATATAAGTGAGAAATGTTAGTTTGTGGCTGAGGCTGGTGTTTGGGTTGGTTGGTGCTGGTGTGTATAGTTATTCAGTCGTGTTTTGCACAAAGACTTTTAAGAATAAAACTCTGCAAGGATCTTCTCGTGGACTCTTTTTGTGCTGACAAGGGTCCGAGGACCAGGCTGAAGAGGCAAAGGGAGGTCAGAACCTTTTCCTCCTTTTTTTTTTGCTTTTGTTCAGGAATCTGTCCAGTCCCTTTTTAAAACCATTGAAGCTTGTGGCCATCACCACAGCTTGTGCTGGCAAATCCCATAGTACTAAACGCATTGTGCAAAGAAGTCCTTCCCTTTGTCTATCTGAAACCTCCCACATTTCACCTTAATTGGTCAGCCCCTGGTTCTAGAATAAAGAAAGATGTAGAAAACCCGAGCTTTTCATGGTTGGTGACAAATAGGTAATTATTATGCAATGGAATAAAACCAATGAAACCCAATTTAGTAATGTGATGGCTGCAGAAACAGTTTACAACTCATCAGCCCCAATGACCCACACCCTATTGCAAAGCTGTGCAGTATGCAAGGCACCATTCTTCTGATAGCTCAGCAACCCTCTTCCTAACAGCAGGAGCAATGGCTAACACTTTGTGAGCATTGATTGGAGCAAAAAGGAAGCTAAGTGCCCCCCAAGGCAGTGCTGGGGTGCTGGGGTTCCTTGCTGTTCTGTTTTCTGCAGAATGTCATGCCTTGTAATAGGCGACTGCTGCATCGTCCTGTATCGTCCTTGGCCCTTATCTTCTGGGTTTGATTTTAAAAGGGGTCCCGGGCAAACATCAGCAGTGGGCCCTGATGGGATGTAGGGGACTCAGGCAGCTGAAGGAGAATGCCATGTGCTGACAGCAGGACTGATTGGGTAGCTAAGAACTTGCAAGGGACATGAAAAGGAATGCCACACTGCTGCTACCAGGGCCACATATCCAATCAGCATGAGAACTACATGAGTGGCAGGCAGTTGGGAGGAAGGAACGTTTGTGCCCTGATTCCTTCAGCATCCTTGTCACAGCCACAGCACTGGGAGCAGCAACTGTTGGGAACACAGTGAGGAGAGAAGCTGGGAAAGAGAAGAACCAAACTAAGAGTGAAAATGAGGAGCCCTTGCTTGGGAGAGGGGACCCACCTGCGCCTTGAGATCTTTTAAGGGATGCCTGCTCTTCTCCCAATACCATTCTCTTGGGCCCATAACCTGTCATGGAATCTCTAGATGTGCCCAGAGTCCATAGAATCTCCAGGCTCTGGTCAGGGATTCTGGGGAGGGCACGTGAAATAGAGTTACAAAGGCAACATTTGTACCAAAAAAGACACTGGGAGAACCTTGGTTTAAAATCCCCAGAGTGATTAAAGGCCTTTTGAGGCAGAAATCTCTGCCTGAGAAGACTGGCTAAGATGTATAAAGTAGAATCAGATTTGTGTTGGAAATGTAAAGAAATGGAGGGAACTTTCTTCATATGTGGTGGGCATGTAAAAAGGTTAAAGACTATTGGGAAATGATTTATAATGAGATGAAAAAAATGCTTAAAACAACCTTCCCCAAAAGACCGGAGGCATTTTTGCTAGGAATCGTTCAGACAGAGGTTCCTAGGTGTCAGAAAAACTTATTTATGTATGCAACAACGGCGGCCCAAGTTTTGATAGCCCCAAAGTGGAAAGTGAGGGAGGTCCCAACTAAGGAGAATTAGCAAGATGATAAAATATGTGGAACTAGATGGTCTAACATAAAGAATAAGAGAGCAAGAAGAAGATGTATTTAAAGAGGAGTGGAAAATCTTTGCTGAATATATGGAAAATAACTGTGCACAGTTGAAAACATTGGCAGCATTAAGGTAAATTCAACAGTATAATAAACACTTCAGTGATGTAAGATTGGAGAACTGAATAAAATGGCTATAGTAAAATATGCAGGAATGGTGGATAAATTAAATGGATCACGGAAGGGGAAGAAGGGAAGTCACTGAATGTATGGTATTGTGTAAGATGTTTATTTTGACCCCAACCTTCCCTGCCACAGAGATGCCCTGGTGAGTTTTATCACCCAAACAGCTTTATGGTTAGGATGGAAGCATTTCCTAAGAACCAGCCTAAATAAGCTCCCTCAAATTTGAAACAATTGCTCCATATGCCCTCTTCAGAAGTTCTGGTACAACACTGTCCCTTCTTTACTAACTTACTTCAGTGATGTAAGATAGGAGAACTGAATAAAATGGCTATAGTAAAATATGCAGGAATGGTGGATAAATTAAATGGATCACGGAAGGGGAAGAAGGGAAGTCACTGAATGTATGGTATTGTGTAAGATGTTTATTTTGACCCCAACCTTCCCTGCCACAGAGATGCCCTGGTGAGTTTTATCACCCAAACAGCTTTATGGTTAGGATGGAAGCATTTCCTAAGAACCAGCCTAAATAAGCTCCCTCAAATTTGAAACAATTGCTCCATATGCCCTCTTCAGAAGTTCTGGTACAACACTGTCCCTTCTTTACTAACTGGAAGTCTTTTACCTTGCTGAGAATCCTTAAAGCATGAGGTGGCCATATACCTTTAAAATTCCCGTACTTTGAGTTTGGCAGAAATATCAACTTTGAATGGTTTCTTGTGAATGCGGTGAAGGGGGACTGCTATCACAAATCATCACTGTCCCACAGTCTGGTATTCTATGGGAGTAATTGAGATAAGGGCTCTCAGCTCAGATGTCACCACTGAATGATCCCTTTACCTCTTGCATCTATAGATTTCATTTTACAGTGAAAAGAATGGCAAATTCTATCATTTCACTTTATACTTTTTAAAAAAGCCTAATGCCACAAGTGCATTTTAAGCTGTCCTTCATAGGACCCAAATGTAACTTAATCCACATTCAAACTGAGTTCACGTAGTTCAAAACTGAACTCATTCCACATTGCTGTATGAACCGACCCAGAAGAAAAACACAATACTTACATCTACAATGAGGAAATCAAGCCAACACCAGGCATTGGTGAAGTACTTCTTAAAGCCATAAGCTACCCATTTCAGAAGCATCTCTAGAACAAAGATGTAAGTGAAGATCTTGTCAGCATATTCCAACATGGTTTTAATGTTCTTTTTCTTGTCGAGGTAGATGTCTTCAAATGCCTGGAAGTTGGAAGTAAAAAGTTGTGAATTAGAGTGCTACATTCTCCAGATGTTGTCTTTGGGGGGAATTCTTTTTCCTTAATAAAAGGCTCTGTGAATAAATGACTACATGCCACTGAATATTTATACTGATTATTACCCTGTCAGAATTGACCAATGAAGCCATATGGTGGCAAACAATGAATTCATGAATCTACTGTTTGTTCTGCAAGAAATATGATAATTTGCAAACCTGGTGTGTGTGGAGGGGTATATGCAGTGTTGCACTAGGATCCTGGGCAGAGATGATTCCCATCACCTGCCAACTGATCCTTTAAACAAGAGATGTCAGGAATTCTTCCCTGGCTTGGATTTAACCCAAGCTAGAGAAGAACTCAGGGGTCTAATTCATGCTCGCTTCTTATTAGAGATTGGGAATTATAAATGCCTGAAATTTATATCCTATCTTCAAGTAAAACAAGCTTCGCTGGCATGTCTTCTCTCAACACACAACCACACATATTTAAAAGTCTAACGGGATAAGGGAAAAAAACAAGTTTTAAGCTTACCAGAGCTCCACTGCTCAGGAGAATCATAAATATGATGAAAGTTTCAAACCAGCTGTGTTCAACTATTTGGTAGCACGTTTTCCTCAGTCTCCACCAAATCTTGCCAGGAAATTTTGTGGTGTCTACTGAACAGCACGGGAAGAATCGGACACAAGCTGAAATGATAAAGGAAGACCAGAAAGAGTTGTTTAATGCTAGGTGCTACTAGGAGGGCTCTCCCTCGTCCCAATTTAAAAACAAAAGAAAGGCCTCCTGGATCAGGTCTATGGTTCACCTAGTGCAATAGTCCACCTAGTTCAACACCCTGTTATCAATGTGGCCACTTTTATCTGCCCTGAATCTGACAACATTCAGCATCACTGGATGTGCATAAGTTCTAGGGCAACGAAAGAGGGATAAAAACGTTTCTCTATCACTATCTCCATGTCATACGTAATTTTAGGCACTTCTACCATGTCACCCCTTACTCACCTCAACATTATTAAATGTCTTAATCTTGTACAGAGTGCTACTGTGCATGAATGCAGTCTTCAGTCCCTTCAGTTTACTGAAGTTCATTTCTGTCTTTCTGTTCATCTTCCACTTCATTACAGACTTTCATAGACTCACACAGATGGAAGGGGTCTTGTAGGCCATCTGGTCCAACCCACAACTCAATGAAAGAAACCTAGAGCTAGAGCAACCCCAGTAGATGGTTTTCTACTTCTTGAGGCAACCGTTTCCATTGTAAAACCACTCTTGCTGTCTATCTCTTGGTGTTGAACAAAAATCTACCCCCTAGTAACATTAAGCCCATTAATGGGATGCAACCTGGAAGAAATGGGCTCATGGCTAATCTATGCTTATCCATAGTCTTGGTAAATTTAATTATGTACATTATCTATTTTAGTCTTTATGGTTTTTACTGAAATATATGGTTCCTATGACCCAATTTATAGCCTTTGGTTCTGCAAAAAACCGATACAGAAAAGAATAGTTCTACTATGATGAAAATGGTGAATTGAAAGGCATTGTGGGAAAAGGCCTTAACTGGCTAAGTCAGGGATAGGAAACCTGTGGCCCTTCAGATGTTATTAGATTCCAACTCCAATCAGCCTCAGCCAGCTTGGCCAACGGTCAGGGGTGATGGGAGTTGTAGTCCAATGGCATCTGAAGGGCCATAGGTCCCCCATCCCTGAGCTAAAGCAGCAGCTTTGCCTCCTTCCTATACTTATTGTCAATGGTGAATAACATCTAACTTACAATGTTCGATGTGACTCATTGACAACAGGCACAGCGCTGCCAGCATCCCTGTAGCTCTGTTGGGCAATGTGTTCCAGAGATGGCAATACTTTTGACGCCATTTAAACGATCCTTATCATTCACATAGACATTGTCACCTCCCCCCACAATAGGGAACATTTAAAGTCCTTTCCGTTGAATGCAGTCATTTTCTTTTCATAGTGGACAGGTCCCCTGCCCCACCCCACCCAGCTCTAGGCTTTCATTCAAAAATCCTAACTTAAATCACAATAAAATCTCTCTCCGTGTGTGTACATGCATGCAAGCTGAGCGCAGTGTATACTAGAACAGCAGGCTTTTACTGCTGCTACAAGTGGAAGATAATTCCAGGTTGTCACAGCTCAGGAAAGCTCAATCGGAGAAAAACATCTGCAAATGAATTAAAGGCTAGAAATGGCCAACTTATTGTACATTTAATAGAAATATTCTAAGCCTTGAGCAGAGGGCCAAAGGAGACGTGATGCTTATCACGTAGTCTGCCCATATGTAGCCGGTTTTTAAAAAATAGCAATAATTCCAAAATAGCCCACATATATCACACTCTTTTTTCCAGACAGTGTTTCGCTGTTGACTTAGAAGGTGGCTATACTTGCTCTAGTCCCACCCCCTTTAATTCCACTGCCTTTCCATCTACTCTTTTATTACATAAACCACACTGTGGGTGGAGGGCTAAGGGAATCTATTATTTGCATGCTTTTTAACATGGGGGGGATAAACTGGAAGAAACACAAGTACCATGGCTTCTGTGGAGGCAGATCCACCAAAGGTGGAAAGAGAAGAGGCAACACATATACTATCAGCGTTTGAAGGGTTGGTGAAATGCTGTAATAGTAATGCTATGGGTTTAATTTCAAGACTATACCATTGCTTATTGCTATTAGAAGTGAAGGCAGGATTTGAGTTTGAAACTGAAGGGACAGAAATGGCAGGCAGGATGGAATAAATCCCCATTTAGGTAAATCTCAGTTAGAGACTAAGAAATGGAATTTAAAATGGTTCATAGGTTGTGCTTAACACCACAGAGGTTATCCTGTATAAATTCTACACTATCACCATACCGTTGGAGGGGATACCAGCTGGTAGGAACTTATAGACATCTCTGGTGGGATTGTGGAAAAGAATAAAAGTCCTGGATCTCCGTTTAAGGAGATTAACACAAATTGTAACATAATACCCACCCCACAACTGGCTCTTCTAAACATCTAGGAAGAGAATGATTAGGAATTATGTGTAAGGAGTTGATTATCCATTTGCTAACTGTGGCCAGAGCTGGCAGAGCTGGCCTGGCTTTAAGACTCATCACAATTACCCACAGAAACAAGTTGAAATACAGCTGCTTCAAGGGGTGGGTGTGTTGTGTCCTCCCTATATGCGGCCCCAGTTAGCAACCTGGCCAGAGCACTGTGGACCAATTGCAGCTTCTGAGTACTCTTTAAAGTCAGCTACAAAATCCAGAGCGCACTACATTAATCCAGATGTGATGTAACTAAAGATGTTTCACTGAGGCCAGAACTGCAGTCTCCAGAAATGGCAGTGTTTTGCACACCAGCCTCAGCTGGGCAAAGCACCAAAATTCAAAGCCAGGTCCAAATGAACCCCTCCCCTCCAAGCCATGTGCCTGCATTTTCAAGGGAAGACCTACCCCTCTTCTGATGTACTGACCAAGAGCACCTCTGTCTGGTCTGGATTAAGGTGCTGTTTGTTTTCCCACATCCAGTCCAATGGTTCTGGATTTCCACAGTCTCACTTGAATGAGATGGACAGCTGGGATAGAGTTGGGTGTCATCTGCAAACTGGTGACGCCAAACACCAAATCATCTCCACTAGTGGTTACATCTAAATATTAAGCATGGGGAACAAGGTAGGGGCACGTAGGACCCCAAAGGCCAACTGTTAAGATATGGAATAGGAATCCACATGTTGGAGCTCACCATGAATTTATCCTTTGTTCTCTTAGAATGGCAATGGCGCCCACCAGAGAGGTGCTGGAGTTGAGCTCCAGTGAGCTCCTGCTGAAAAAAAGCCCTGAGCACCACCATCTGGAACAAGCCATCCAGAAAGGTCTAGAACGAAACTGGTCTAGAAGTGTGCCTTGTTCAGTGGCATGGGGCTGAGAGGTCCAGCACAACCAACAGAAAAGTATCCCCCCTGTCCAGTTTCTGGCACAGGTCATCTACAGAGGCCGTTCCCTTCCCAAAATCAGAGCCAAAGCTGGATTGAAATGGATCTGGAGCCGAGAAGAGGGTGGAATGCTTAAGTCATTGTCTTACTGAACTATTTATTTTGTGCATTACGCTATACTAAAAAAAAGTACTGAAAACAGGAGACATCTAGAAACAAACAACTGAAGAACTGCACACACTGGAATGCTTGCATTGTCATACTACACCCTTTTCTGACAAGTGAATTCATGTTGGGCTGTTATATCTAAGCAGAGCTGCCAAGAAAATCCCTGGGAACTACAGACACCCCCTTCCCTTGCAGGGCTTCTGCTACCTCATTTGATCATCTTCCACATGCCAAAATGACGTTCTGCTGACTGCAGGGGCTCCTGCATTTCTTGCAAGTTATCCCCATCTGATCCCCACTAAGCAGGCTTGTTTCTGAATTAAATAATCCTCTGGGATATGCACGCTCGTGGATATATGACAGTTTAGCTCACCTTAGTCTCCCACTCTTCCCTCCCTCCCCACCTTCCAACACATCAGGAAGAACCTCATGGAACAATCAGTTGCAACAGAGACTCAAGGCTGTCAAGTGATTGCATTTGTTAACTGGAGAATTAGACAGCAAAAATCTACATTGCATCCCTGTCTTTTCAGTGGCAGGTGGAGTTGAGTGTTTACCAAACACAGGCATGTTTTCATCTTAAGAGTGAAAAAGGCATCTTGACTGATGCAATCAGCTCAAGGTTACAGGAAACACGCGTGCGTTGGCTCGGTGCAATCCAATGGTGAGAAGCATGGGTGGAACTGAGGCAGCTACATATATATATATATATATATATATATATATATATATATATATATATATGCTTCAGGGGACCAGTGGGTGGAGGAGACAGTCTCACAACAGCTTCTCCCTTCCCCTAGTTTGGGGGTCATCAACCCTCCTGGATCCCAAGAACCTCTGGGACCCCTGAAGGATCTGTGCCTTGGATGCATGTTTTTTTGCACCATGGCGGTGCTGGAGATTGCAGGACCCTTGATTTCTGTGGATTAGTCAATGGAGACAGGTGTGATCTGTGCTTTGATGGTGGTTTCATTAATGTGAGATTTTTTGTTTCACATATTGTTTGGGAAAGCACAAATTAGGTAAGTTCATCTTTCAGTGTGAATGGGATCAAACTTCTCCCAGGTTCCTTCTTCCAGGTAACTGGTTCCATAATTAAACTACTCTCGCCATCATCAGTTTTCATGTAATGTTCAACCAACAAGTTTAGATCTGCTTCCTGCCCTCTGGGGCAGCAGTAGATAGCAAGTTCCTGCCCCCTTTTCTGTGATTCTCCAGCTTCAACCTGAAGTGGAATAGCCCAGGAAAGCTGTGACAGTTCTGATCATGCGTTTCTAGCTTAAAGTCAGGAAAAGAAATGAAAGGAGCCCATCCTTACGTTCTGGGAAACAGTCTTCTGGTTCCATCATCTCTTCTGCCAGCTCAGGCATCTGCTCCAGAAGCTCTGGCGGGATTGCCAGGTCCACTGTGCTTCCTTCCGACAGACTGATTTCATCAAACTTCTAGGGGAGAAACAGGGGCAAAGGTGAGGAGAGGAAGAACATTCATCAGTCTCCTCTTAACGGAAGTGGCTGTGCTTTAAAGAAGGAGCCAGCGATGGATGATTCAGCCAGCTGGAGAGAGGATGAAAGGAAGAAAGGATTTGCTCATGCATTTTCATACAACACAGTGACCATTGCAAAAGGGATGCAGCATACGACAAATGAACAGAATATGTAAAAATGAAACAACTGCACAGCAGCATTTTCTAATAAAGGCGACGTTTTTGCTTAGCAATTGGAAAGATTAAGATAAGTGCCAATTTCAAAGGAGATCTGTGTTTCTGTTTGCATATAGGTTCAGAAAAATGCAAATTAAGTAAGAGTTTGTTAAAATGAGAACTGAATACTTTTTGTTTAAAAAATAGCTTTTATTAATATATAGCCCTTCCCAATAGAAATGCAGAAATTTAAAACTAACGTGCCATGTGGCTTACCTCCCTATCCCACTTATAACATGTCATGGGTGCAGGTTCATAACCTTCTTCCAAGAACTGAATAAATTTACCCACCAATCCTTAATTGGTCCTCCATGGGGTGGGGGGGGAAAGGTTCAAATACAGAGGAAAACAGCATGTCCGGGAGAAGTCTAGAATGCTTCTTCCTAACATCTAGTTTTCTTGGTTCAGTTAGGAGCATCCAGCCACACCTTTCCCCACTGGCAGTCCTTGGTAGAACTGGGTCAGCATATTTCAGGCATGTCTTTTCTGACACACACCCAGTTCATCTATGGTGACAGTAAGGCCTACCAGCTTGGCCAGAGCCTTCCACCATCTGAAAGCACATTCTAGAATACGGCCCAGAATCCTTTGCAGAAGGCAAGATTCCTGGAATACGTGCTCATAGGTTCCTCAGCAAGTAGAGGCAGAAAATGTTTACTGCTCCCACGGATAAATATCACTTGGTGGTTCAGATCTTATTGTGTCCTTGGTCTTTAAACATTTTCATGAGCTCCTGTGCTGCCAAAGCACAAAGGGTGTTGGGTTTGTTGTTGCTTATGTGGTTGATATTCCAGGATAAAAAAGGAAGAAATATCAACCACCTCACTTTCAAAGAGCAATCTGGAACTGCCTCCATATGGACAAATCTGCCTCTTCAGCAATGTCTGAGAGAAGAGATGATCTTTACCTTGTGGCTAATTGCAGCCTCCCGCTTCTCTCCCACCCCTTCCCCCGCCCCAATTCAAATGAATCCACCAGACAGAGAGAAAGCACTACCTTCAGAAGAAGAGATTAAGGGCAGAAATAACTGCTCTCTGGAGATTTACGTGAAGAATGCTCCTAAAAAAAAACACCCTTCTGCAATGGAAATGAAAACATCTGAGCAGCTGATTATTGGGCTGCTGCAGACTTCCTGGGAACATAAAAGATGGGGCCATTTTCAGGAACTGAGATCCTGTTTCAAAGATGGATTATGAAGGGAGACCAAGATGGACCCTTTTCTAAGGCTTTGGTAAACCAAGTTATACGGATGACTATAGCCCAAACTAGACAAAAAGTAACAGAGGCTGCATACATTAAAAATAACGTTTAAAGCATATGTCTTCCCCCAAAGAATCATGGGAGAGCTGCAGTTTGTTATGGGTGCTGTAGCTCTGAGAGACTGCAAACTACAACTCCCAGGATTCTTTGCGGAAAAGCAATGTGCTTTTGAATCTATGGTGTGACCTAAGTTTTCCTTAGTAGGGAAATAATAGCTCTGGGTGGAATGGTGGTGGTGGGGGGGGTAGTTAACCCCCTGCAGTACTGAGGTCCTAATCCAAAAGCCCCTAGAAGCTGCGTGATGCCCTTAGAAACTGATTACTTTTTGATAAAACATCCCAGGATGCTTGTTTGTCTGTCTTCTCCTATTAGCCAGTGTGGTGTAGTGGTTAAGAGAGGTGGACTCGTAATCTGGGGAACCGGGTTCGCTTCCCCGCTCCTCCACATGCAGCTGCTGGGTGACCTTGGGCTAGTCACACTTCTCTGAAGTCTCTCAGCCTCACTCACCTCACAGAGTGTTTGTTGTGGGGGAGGAAGGGAAAGGAGAATGTTAGCCACTTTGAGACTCCTTCTGGTAGTGATAAAGCAGGATATCAAATCCAAACTCTTCTTAAAATGCTTGAAAAAAAGGCAGGGGGAGTTGGAACTACCATACCACACTTTGAAAAGAAGGAGTACCGTATTTTTTGCTCCATAAGGCGCACCTACTTTTGGGGGGGGGGATTCAAGAAAAAAAAATGCTGCTCTTGGGGGCTTTTGCGGGACGTGGGGGAAGTGAGAGAGCCTTGCTCTGTCCCTTCCCCCACCTCCCGCAAAAGCCAGGGATAGCCGCGCGAAGCCTCCCCAGGGCAGCGGGATGAAGGGTCCCCGCTGCCTTGTGGAGGCTTCGCAGGCTACCCCAGAGCTGCTCAGGAGCTAGTCAGGACTGGCGGGGGAAGCCCGGGTTTCCCCCACCCCCAGCCCCAGGGACCACACATTCGCTCCATAAGATGCACAGACATTTCCCCTTAGATTTTAAGAGGAAAAAGGTGTCTCTTATGGAGCGAAAAATACAGTAAACTCGACACAAGGCAGGCAATACAGGATTGCTTGCAAAGTTTGCTTTGATAACGAGGGCCTGCTTTGAAGACGGTGATTTGGTGCTCTGGGAGAGGGTGCTCAAACCCCTCCTTCAGTTCAGATCCCTCCTGCCCCCACCCCAATCTTATCAGAGAAAACATCCCCACAACAACCCCCAAATTAACACACCAGCCCATTGAGGGGCGCCTCACTGGAGTTAAGCACCATCTCTAATAGCACTGTGTCTCTGATCTTTAAATCAGCTCAGCCAGGCTTCAAAATGAGAGGGAAAAGGCAGCAAGGACCACCCCACCCCCTTCTCATGTGGTTCAGCTTTAAGTCCCTTAAAGAGACTCCAAAAAGAAAACATTAGATTAGCCGAGCAGGTGAACAGAGGAAATACATTGGTTGTTGCATCAGCATGCATAAGCCCCAGCCTGATAACCTGACAGTGACAAAAGGAAAGATTATAATATCTGCAAAACTCAGCAGCCCAGCCGCAGGAGGGATGAGAGAGGAACCAGAAACGAAGCAGCACAATTAAAAAGCAACAGCAACAGTGCATTGCAAGCGATCTAAGAGCCATTTTAGAGTCATCCATATAAACAGAGGTGGGGGCTGGGGCAGTGAAACACTTTTGTGGTACGGAAAATATCAAGAAGCTGATGGTGCGGATCGCTGATTTGGACTTGTCCCTCCTCTATTTAGGCCTCAGTTTCACCCCTGTTCCTCAATTTGTAGCCAAAAGTTCAGAAATCGGAGCTTTCCGCTTGGCCTTACTCCAGTGCATACGATTCTCCTTGTGAATTCTGTTTGTGGTTTCTGCATTGCCTCCAACTCTTCTCTTGGCGGCTTGACAAAGCTGTTGGCGTACTTCCTGGGTTGCCCCATGCGCTTGAGCTGGTTGCCATATGAGCCACCAGTTTAGCCATTGCCTGCTTCCCAGGGCTTGGACATGAAATTGTGGGTCCAGTTGTATGTGGTGTCCCACACAGAGCTAAGTCTTCAAAAATAGCATCATCTGGGCGTTCTTGCTGGTGTATGTCACCTCACATGAACTTCTGCCTCATTTTTCACTGTCCCATGGACAGGTGCCATGCTCTTTGATCTCCCTCTTAAACAGTCACAAATAGAAACTAATTGTGCTCTTTGGAGATGGCATTTGTGTTCTGCGCACATTTAAAGGTGGTGGAGGAAAGCAAGCTTGCTGCTGTTGCTGCTTCCTACGACCAGGCCATTCAGAAAGTTCGACTTGAAATGGAAGCACGCCGTTTTCCTTTTTCCCACTTTGTTTCGTATAGAGTGCACCTGGGTCCCAGGCAATGAGTTTCTTGTTCATTTAGTCAGTGTGCATCGATTCTCATGCTGTATGGGGTAAAACCATCCCCCTAACTACTAAATATTCAACTTTGTAAAAACGTGGTCTGCAATTCAACGAAGTTATATGCATGTGCTCTGTATGCAGCCAGGGATATATTTAATGTTTCTATGACAGGCTGAGCAGGCAAGGTACCTTTTAAGCAGAAAAACAGCTTGCTGCCTCAGTTAACTCGTATGTGTGGTTCCACCCCCAGGAGAAACTTCAGGCACCTCCAGTTATGCAACTTCCTCCCCCGTGCTCTGTAGGATGGTTGCATTTGTGAATGTATGCTATGTGCAACTGAATTTATGCTTAGGACGGAAACTGCTATATGACCAGCTTTTCCTCCAAATAAAAAAAATTCCTTCCAGTAGCACCTTAAAGACCAACTAAGTTAGTTCTTGGTATGAGCTTTCGTGTGCATGCACACTTCTTCAGGTATCTGAAGAAGTGTGCATGCACACGAAAGCTCATACCAAGAACTAACTTAGTTGGTCTTTAAGGTGCTCCTGGAAGGAATTTTTTTTGTTTTGACTATGGCAGACCAACACGGCTACCTATCTGTAACTTTTCCTCCAAATGATAGACATGATTTCAGGCTATAGCAGAGAACCCAGCTCATAGTCTGAGCCTGAAACTTGGCAATTGAAACCAGCTTTTGTTTTTTCAAATGGTGCATTCTGGAATTCCATTCCTGGACATTGCATGAATTCTCTGCTTTTAATTCTCTCCACACTTACCACAGCTATACTGGCCATTCTGCGTTGTTTTTCTTTGGCACTGGATAGGCTCATTTATAAAGGAAATGACCCCCCTCCCCCATGCCCCATGCAACCCTCGCCAATTTCTACTGCATGCACTACGGAGTTCCAGCAACGGACAGCATGCAGAAAGCAGGCAGCAAACGGTTACCTCTTGTTCCCCTACTGGCGGGACCGGAGGCTCGTCCTTTGACTGTTTGTCCGTTTGCAACTCACTTAACTCTTCGCAAATCTCAGAGGCCTGACTCCGAACAGCTGGGCTTTTGTAGCGCTGCCCTTTCAGTTGCTGTTGTTTGTCCTGGTGGAAATAATCCTAAATGGGTTTATTCCCCCCCTTTTTCCAGCATGCTCATTTCATAAGCAGAACACACAGACAGACACATACGGCCCCCAGTGAGAACAGAAAAATCAGCGTCAAATATGCTCATTAAAAGTGGCACCTCGGGGCAGCAAAGGGTGAAGGAACAAGATTGCATTTAATTAACTGTGCAATTTTTACAATAATTTCCATTGCACTTTGACAGGGTCATCAGACTCAGGCAAATTCAAACTACAGACCTTTGAGCTACGGCAGCTCTCTGGGAAACTCATGGCCTCATTTGGCCAAAGCATCTTTACTTGGCTCTTGGCCTTACTCCATGCTTTCCTCTGGGATTGGTCACAACCCCTTCGTGAACCTCCCCTTCCTGTCAGCAGCACTGATTTTATGCAGCAACACACACACACCCCTCGTGAAGATGGTGGATTCCGCTCCTTAATTAGTCCCTGCCCTTTCCTCTGGCTTCACTGCCCTTTGTCAGACACCCCAGGCTAACCTGCTCACTAATACATACCCTCCAGCATTCATCAGAAGAAAACAGAGAAATCCCAGAGAAAATAGGCACAGTTCTCACTCCCCCGCAACTGACCCTCCCGGACCCTTCCATTTTTGTGTTGTCCCCTCCGCAGAGCATTTCCTATCGGAAGAAGGGCTACTCCAATGGGACAAAACACACACACCCTCCACCGCCCTGAGAAAATCTCTTAATCCAGATTCACAAAAAGAAAAAACACACATTTGCCAGTTGTGGGGTTGGGCCAGAGAAAAAAGGAGGCGGGGCACTAAATGTAAATATTACCTTTGTAGAAGAGGCCAGAGGTGGTGAAGGACATCTTCTTGTCAGACAAAAATCTCTTAAGGAGGGTGGAAGCAGGGCCATTTTGTCTGGGGAATTGATGTGTTCTTATGAGAGACTAAGGGTCAGACAGAGAGGCTTGGAGGGCTGCATTCAGGCCCTGGACCTGAGGTTCCTCACCCCTGTGTCAAGCCAAGGCAAGAACTCCCAAGTTTGCATGTTAAAACTGCTAGGGACTAAACCCTGTGTAGAACCAGGTCCTGAGCTCCTCAAGAGGAGGATAGGAGGTTGATGAGTTAGTTGGGTGTGGGTAGAGAAGGGTGAACAGTGGGGAGGACTGGCCCACTGCTCCATGCCCTTTCCTTTCTTCTGCCACTTGGGCATGGTAGCCTGAGGAAGGAGGGTAGGTTTCAAACCAGCTGTCCCCAGCATTTAGAGACAAAGGAACTGCTCACAACTCACATTATATCGGAAGTGAAACAGACTGCTTCTCACCCAAGCAATTAATTGCTGAACCAATGCATATTTGCTCTTCAGAGCTCTCCACTAGGAAAGTCAAGGTGAAACATATCTCCATTATTTTGTGAGGACACAGTTTTGAAAAACTGCTCATCCCGCCTGGAATTTTTCTGGGGGGCCCTGGCCCATGTTTTCCTAGAGGCAGACCTTCAAAGCAGGGCTGAAGGACAGAAGACCCCTTCTGCAATCTGAGCCAAAGAAGAATTTGAAAACCTATCCATTCTGAAGGAAATCAGCCCTGAGTGCTCACTGGAAGGACAGATCCTGAAGCTGAGGCTCCAATACTCATGAGAAGAGAAGACTCCCTGGAAAAGACCCTGATGTTGGGAAAGATGGAGGGCACAAGGAGAAGGGGACGACAGAGGATGAGATGGTTGGACAGTGTTCTCGAAGCTACCAGCATGAGTTTGACCAAACTGCGGGAGGCAGTGGAAGACAGGAGTGCCTGGCGTGCTCTGGTCCATGGGGTCACGAAGAGTCAGACACGACTAAACGACTACACAACAACAATGTTCACCTCTCCTTTGAGGTAAGCTATAAATGCAATCCTAAATTCATTTTCCTGGGAGTAACATACTGTCATGTTTATTTCCAGGCCCAAACCCAGGGAATGCAGGAGTCAGTCTCCACACCATGCTCCCAACCGAAAGAGAAGCAGATTTGTGCCCAGACGCCCAAGCTGTCCTCACTGCACAGGTCTTTCTGGCAACTCTGCAGAGTGGCTGTGTGTCAGGAGGGCTGCCCTCTCTTTACAGGGCTGCCTGGTCCAAATATAGTTTGAAGATTAAAAAACATAAGAAGAGAGAGCAGGGACCTTGAAGTGTGTTGTCAACGGTTGGCACCTGGAGAACAGACTAAACAGGCATGCAGATTACCTGATCAGAGTCTTCCCCACTACGATCAGATAGTTTGCATTTCTATTTAAATTACAACAACTGTTTCTAAATTTGCACGACACAAACAAATGAGCATATGCGAATTTTATGCAAAATCTAGGTTCTCTTTGGCTCTCCTTTTTGGGCGATGTGTGTGGCCATTGTACAACTGCATCAAATTGCCTTAACTCCCCTTGCTACTGAAACACATTAACAACGCTCTGCCTGGTTTCAATGGTTTGCTAAGGAGAGCTTTGAGGAGGGGCTTTCCCTGCTGTTTAAAAAGGCAATTACAAGCAGAACAGGTTTTTTTAAACAATAGTTATTTCCAACTCTTTGCATTTGGCTCATGCCACATCCTCATGTTTTACTGCCCGTGCTTGATGAGCCTAATATTATTGATGTCACGGTTATTAGCCCACCTGCCATGGTTGGACAGTTCCCTCACTGCAGGGAACAGCACAGTGGAAACAGAGAAAAATGTTTCATTTCAGACTGAAATAGCAGTAAAGACAAAAGAAAGCTTTTTGGCTAAGTAATTTGGAGGCGGGGAAATAAATGCTTTCCGTTTGCCGAGTTCATACTATAACCACCCCCTTCAAACCGCTGCTATGATCTTTCAGTAAATTTATTTGAAATTATATTACCGATTTCCTGCTTCAAAGGGCATGGGACTCAATGCATATTTTAACTTACTACAAATTGATTCAGCGCCCCCGCCCCCCCAGCCCCAAACTGTACCCTGGGCTTGAGAAAGTGCTGAAAGTAAATGCTGGGCATGTATTTTAATCAATTCTCCACAGGCCAAAAGATCACATTGATACAATCATGGAAGCTGGAATTTTGTCTGCATCAAAAACAGTCCATAATGGACAAGGGAGGACCTTAAGCAGTGCAAGAAATCAGCCGCATTAACTTTTCATTTCTTTAAAACCGACATTCCCTCCCCCAAACGAATTGCAAGCATAATACAAATAATTTTATTCATACAGCTCTTTCGCACTAATTGGGGCTTTATGCAAAAGACAATAAGATGCAGCAGTTACACTTGAGGCACTCTGCATACTCAATGAAATGTAACATGACACAAAACCTATACATGTCTACTCCGCTCCGAGTACACCAATGCGTTCAGTGGGGCTTGCTCCCTGGTAAGTGGGCCAAGGATTGCAGCCATAATTCCAGTTGGAAAGGGGAAGTGGAGACAGAATTGCCACATCTCAGGAAGTGTTCCTGCATATGGAGTTGGGGTGGGGGGCAGTTAACCTCTTTCTCAGAGCCTGTAGGAGTTACCGTATTTTTCGCTCTATAGGACGCAGTTTTCCCCCTCCCAAAATTAAGGGGAAATGTGTGTGCGTCCTATGGAGCGAATGCAGGGTCCTTGGCTTCAGCGATAGCAACACGAAGCCTCCAAAGCACAGAGGGAGCACTCCCTCTGCGCTCCGGAGGCTACTCGTCGCTTTCGCTGAAGCCTGGAGAGCTGCCTGAAGCCTTTGGAGTGCAGTGGGACCTTGTGCTGCGCTCCAAAGGCTTCGGGTTCCTTTTGCTGAAGCCGGGAGCGAAAGGAACCCAAAGTCTTTGGAGCGCAGTGCGATGTCCCGCTGCGCTCCAAAGGCTTCAGGCGGCTATCCCTGTTCTGGGGGCTGGGGTCGGGGGAAGCTTGAGCTTCCCCCGCCCCAGCCGCGTGGCTAAAAACGAAGCCAAAACAGCCAGCGGGATCCATCCCGCTGGCTGTCTTGGCTTCTGCCAAAGCCGCGCACAGCCTCTCCCGGCTGGAGAGGTTGCGCGCGGCTAAAGAGGAAGCCAAGACAGCCAGCAGGATGGATCCCACTCACTGTCTTGGCTTCTTTACTCTTTGGGGTGGGGAGGAAATAATTTTTTTTTCTTGATTCTCCCCCCCCTAAAAACTAGGTGCACCGTATGGTCCGGTGCGCCCTATGGAGCGAAAAATACAGTAAATCTCTGAGTTGGTCAACCAGAAGCACATGAGATCCACTCCAGCTTTTCTCCAAGGTTCTATGTTTACAAAGGCAATAAATAAATAAATCCTATTTACCCCCTTCCCCCAGCATTTTTAACACTACATTTTATCTGTATCATTACATTGTAACCACCCCCTCAAAAAAAAAAAAGTTCTCTTGAAAATTCATCAGCGTTTTAGAGCAATCATATCCAATGTACACATTTTTGCAAGGATTTTTGCCTTACATATCCACTTTTGCAAGCAATTTCCCTATATAATGCATAATTCATTGTTTTCCCACAAACATGCATCTTATGCAGAATTTTCCATAACAGACACATTTTTTTGAATACATTGTTCAGTTGGAGAAACTGCATCCCAAAATTCGGAGAAGTGTCGCTTCCAAAGGAAAGCTTTATTTTGGGTTGCAAAGTGCAAATTAGGAAGGTTTGCATTAAAATTTGAACTGAACTGAACTCACCCCCCCATCCCCAAATATAATTTACAGAATTTGAGAACACGATTCTGCATTAAAATCAGTAAAAAAGAAAGAAAATGGATAACTGTTTTCCAAAAGAAATAACTACATCACAGACAAGTGCCAGGCCTGTTCCCTGCTCAACCAGTTTTGTATGCATGTGTATGTGTATGTCTATGTGTGCAAACACACACACACACAACTTTCTTTTGAATTCCAAACAATTCATTATGTTTGCTGCAACAATAATACTTTTATTGACAGCAAAGATCCCCCACTGTGGGATGCTTATGTAATCTGTTCGTAATTGTTTTATGTCAAGCGCTGAGTTGCCAAGGCAGTATTCAT